TCTGATCTCGAGAGATTGAAGATGAACGATAAAGACACCATTGATGATATTGCTGGGAAACTGACCGAACTGTCATCAAAAGCAACCGCTTTAGGAGAATCCATCGAGGAACATAAGCTTATAAATAAATTTATGTCTTGCCTCCCACGAAAGAAATACATTCAACTTGCTGCAACAATTGAGCAATTTGTCAATCTCAAGACCGCAAAGTTTGAGAATATTTTTGGAAGGTTCAAAGCTTATGAGGAGAGAGTGAAAGACGAAGAAGAGGAAGAAACTCAGAGCAAGCTCATGTATGCAAGCAACGAAACTCAATCTCAACATACTCACCCTACCTCAAACACCAACAATTGTGACTATAACAGTAACTTCAGAGGTCGTGGACGTGGAAACCAGTTTTACAATAGAGGAAGAGGCAGGGGAAGGTATAATGACAGATATCAAGATCGTTACCAGGACAATTTTGACATGTCCAAGATTATGTGTTTCCGTTGTGAAGATGGGAAACTTTGCCTCAATGTGTCCCGATCTTCTCTTAAAGCTACAAGAGGCGACTGAAACAAAAGACAATGATACTATGGAAGCAGAGGAGCTAATGGTTCATGAAGTAGTATTTCCTTAACGAAAAACACGTTAATCCTCTGATATTTGAGACAAGCAAAGACAATGATAAAGTATGGTATTTAGACAATTGGGCGAGCAATCACATGACCGGTGATATGAGATACTTTAAGAGCTTAGACGAGACCATCACTGGCAAGGTTAGATTCAGGGATGATTCGCGTATTGATATCAAGGGTAAAGGACCAATATTGTTCTCCACAAGAGATGGAAGCAAAAGGACATTAGCTGATGTCTACTATATACCAGACCTAAAGAGTAGTATAATAAGTCTTGGTCAGGCAACGGAGTGTGGATGTGATATACGAATGAAGGATGACTATCTCACTTTGAGAGACTGCGATGGGAAACTCATCACCAAAGCCAAACGCTCGAGAAACCGTCTCTACAAAGTCAACATCGAGAGAGATGATCGGTGTTTAGTGGCATCAGTGAGTAATGAATCAGCAACATGGCATGCACGGTTGGGTCATATAGGAAGAGAAGAAATTAGGTTAATGGCAAGCAAGGAACTCGTATACGGCTTACCGAGAGTAGTAAGCGATAAAGAGGCATGTCCTTCTTGTATACTTGGGAAACAAGCAAGGCATGCATTCCCACAATCGACATCATTTAGAGCTGATACAGTACTTAATCTCATACATGGTGATCTCTGCAGACCCATCACGCCATCAACGCCATCACAAAAGAGATACATTTTTGTTCTGATCGATGACCACAGAAGATATATGTGGACGATGCTCTTAAAAGAAAAAGGGGAAGCATTCGACAAGTTTAAAAAATTCAAGTTCATTGTTGAAAAAGAGAGTGAAGCTACAATAAAGATACTAAGGACAGACCAAGGTGGTGAATTCACATCCAATGAGTTTAACTTATATTGTGAAGAACACGGAATACAAAGGCATCTAACGGCACCGTATACTCCTCAAAAGAATGGGGTGGTAGAGAGGAGAAATCGAACGCTTCTCAACAAGACAAGAAGTATTTTGAAACATATGGAACTGCCAAACTATCTTTGGGGCAAAGCGGTACGACATGCTACATACATTATAAACAGAGCAGCAAGCTGTGTCATCAACGCTAAAAAACCATACGAGTTGTTCAAAGGCAAGAAGCCATACATCGGTCATCTACGTATATTTGGCTGCATTGGATTCGCAAAGGTGGACTCGCAACATCTAAAGAAGCTTGATAACATGTCAAGAATGCTTGTACATCTCGGGACTGAACCAGGATCAAAAGCCTATAGACTTTTTGATCCAACAAACAAAAAGAGTAGTGGCCAGTAGGGATGTAATATTTGATGAGAGCAAAGGATGGGATTGGACGACAAGCAACAAAGAAGACACAAGCGGATCCTTTCAGATTAATATCAGTCAATACGGCAATAATGGCAACGATGATAGCATCACAACACTTAATCAAGAGGAAACCGCGCCCACATCTGAACCAAATACAACAATGGAGGATGAAGAAGACGAAGAGGAGAATGAAGATGATGGAGACGAAGCAGAGCCCGTGTTGAGACGTTCTCAGAGAGAAAGAAAACAGCCTGGTTACTTGGATGATTACATTTTGTTGGCTGAACTTGAAGGAGAAAGGCTGTTATTAAATATAAATGATGAACCATGGAGCTGCCAAGAAGCAAAGGAGAAGAAAGAGTGGAGACATGCTTGCCAAGATGAGATTAAATCAATAGTGAAAACTGAACGTGGGATTTGGTAAAACTTCCGGCTGGAGCAAATGCGATCGGACTCAAATGGATCTTTAAGATTAAGCGCAACTCTGATGGAAGTATAAATAAGTTCAAAGCAAGTTTGGTAGCAAAGGGTTATATACAACAACGCGACATGGTATTGATTTTGATGAGGTGTTTGCACCGGTGGCTTGCATAGAAACTGTCCGTTTCCTACTGGCTCTTGCGGCACCAAAGGGGTGGCAAGTGCACCATTTAGACGTCGGCACCGTGTTCCTAAATGGAGACCTTAAAGAAGAAGTATACGTCTCTCAGCCAGAAGGATTCGAAGTCACGAGTCAAAAGAATAAAGTTTACAAATTACGAAAGGCTCTCTATGGTCTACGACAAGCTCCGAGAGTGTGGAATGAAAAACTAAACAAGGTAATGAGTGAACTAAAGTTCGAAAGATGCTCCAAGGAACCAGCTATGTCGAGTTGATAAGGAACATCTGCTACTTGTGGCCGTCTACGTTGACGATCTTTTGGTAACTGGTACAAGTCTAGAGATGATTGATGAGTTCAAGAAAGGAATGGCTGCTAAATATGAGATGAGCGATTTAGGCAAATTGACATACTATTTGGGAATTGAGGTTTATCAACATAGTGAATGGATTACATTGAGACATGAAAGATATGCAAATAAAATCTTAGAGGAAACCGGAATGCAAGACTGCAATGCAGTCCATGTTCCATTTGATCCAAGCTTAAAAAATGCCTAAAGCTCACGAGGAATCTAGTGTCGACGAGAAGGACTATAGACGAACCATCAGCTGTCTTAGATACCTTCTACACACGCGACCTGATCTCTCCTTCGCAGTTGGTGTCATGAGTGGATATATGCAGGGTCCAAAGACTTCACATGATGCGGCTATAAAACAGATTCTGCGGTATTTGAAAGGGTCACTTACCTACTGCTTGAAATTTAAGCGTGCAGAAGAAGTAAGGCTAATTGGCTATAGCGACACAAGCCATAACGTGGACGAAGATGACAGATGCAGTACAACAGGACACGTGTTCTATCTCCTAAACTCGCCCATAACCTGGAGTTCTCAGAAACAACAAAAACAGTTGGTCTTTCGTCTTGTGAAGCAAAGTTTGTGGCAGCAACTGAAGCAGAAAAACAAGCTATTTGGCTCCAGGATTTGCTTGGTGAAGTCGTAGGGAAGAAGTGTGAGAAAGTAGTAATACTCATTGACAATAAATCTGCGATCGCGTTAACAAAGAATCCAGTGTTTCATGGACGAAGCAAGCATATACATCGACGATACCACTTCATTCGTGAATGTGTTCACAACAATCAAATTGAGGTGCAACACGTACCAGGGAATGAAAAAAGAGCAGATATCTTGACTAAAGGACTTGGGAGAATTCAATACAGAGAAATGTGGAGTATGATTGGAGTTGAAGACTTGGAGATTTCAAGCTTAATAGGGAGAATGTTGGAAGTAAGCTTGAAATAACGTGAGGAGCAAGTAATCATAATCTCATATTGTTTGGTTATTTGTAGAGATTAGGAAATATCTTAATATAGTTAAGTCTATTATGAAAAGGAAATTGTAACCCTATATAAGAAGTTGCAAGCTTGTTGCAACCTTTGAGAGAGTTTGGAGATTGTATTAGGGTTCTTGAGTTTTGAGTGATTCTCTCAAGAGATTAATAAGATAGCAAATTCTTATTAAACCTATTCTACGATCAGTCTGTGAAGCCATAGCGAAGAGATCGATGACTCTTCATGAATGTTAGAAATGCAAGGTTTAGCTACAAAACTGATCCAAAAACTAAATTAAGACTATATTGCTTATGTGCTCTGTATACTGCTACTTTCTACGCAATGACGTTGGGGTCCATTTCGAGAACCACCTTGAGCCCATATTCCATAGAAAATTACAAATTGAAGTAGAGAAAAATAAACAATAGAGACTCAACACAGATCCAAAAACCATGTTAAATGACAACATCAGTTCAGTATGTGGAATCCATTTCCTGATATTAGAAAAAGTGATCGAATTCTTTTGTAATGTCATGATGTTAAATATATCCGGGACTTCTCGTGAAGATGAAAATCCCCACCAAAAATCAAATAGTTCATCTAGCAAGTTATACTTGAAAATATTACCAGTAGACAAAATTACGAGGAATGAAATGTGCTTGTTATGTAACAAAGAATGAATAAATTATTTAAGTGTTATACAACAATACATATCGCATCGGTCTTTTGAAAGTTGGATTATATATTTTAGAGGCTTCTTCTATAAATCAAGTTTACCCATGGAAAATATGATAGTTGTGGAAAATTAGAAAGTACAAATCAATTGTAGCATTGATAGGGATATACAAGAGATTTCAACAGAAACATAATCAATGATATGAAAGGGGTAATTTTCTAAGATTAATACTTGGAACTTTACGAACAAGTCAAGTGCATATATTTAAGCTTCATATCTTCTATCTCAAGTAAACCTCGGTGATATATAGATAGCTCATGGAAAAACATATATATTTTTGAAAATCTAATCACTTTCTTCGATATTGCAGTCATCTTTTATAACAAGGAACAACGTACGATACGGTCGACCACACAAGTCCCTACAATTGTAAAGAGCATTTTGACAACTCCAACAGCGACAGTTACCAAGAGCTGGTTATTCTTGGACTTCAATCCAGCCTTTAAGAAGATGGTCGGAGAGTAAAGGACGACTGCATCGATCCCGGAGGCTTGCTGAGCGAAATGGATACCGAGACAAGCTATTAAGATATGTCTGACTGCAGGGGTTGGTCGGACAAAAAGATCCTTTCACACGCCTTTTCCAGAACTCTTCCTGTTTGGAACAACAATAACATTATCTGTCATGTCCTCCGGGATTCAGAGAGCCAATTTGATATCTTGAGCCAAGATATGGCTTCTTCTTTGGTGTTTGAGGTTTTGTCGAGGATTTTAAAAGCATCCTCAAGACGACCCTGGAGTACAAGCCACCTCGGAGACTCGGGCATCACCAACACTCTAATGGAAAGTCACACCAAGGGGATCGCTCCGACACCTAACATGAACCTCCATCGAAGATGCTCGGGAAGCTTGGAGAAAAAATAATTCAATACGTACCGCAGAAGTATACTAATGTTGATAAATATCTGCATAAAAAACATATCAGCACCAACTTCCATTTACAATGTGTATTTTATTATATCTAAAATTAGAAATGTCAGATCTATTATACCTTAGAGAAAGAGCTGAGAAAACCACGAGGAGTAGCAGGAGCAACTTCAGCCATGTAAACCGATGTAATCATCATAGCATAACCAACCTTGATACCAGCTACAAATCCTCCAACCATAATGAAAGGATAATTTTTGGCAACCCCCATCAGAAGGGCACCACAAAAGAAAACGGCTCATGCCAACACTATGGTGTATCGTCCTCCAATCCAATCAGAAGTTCTATCCGCTGTTGGGGAAAAATACTCAGGTATCATTTTCCTCCAGACCTCAGGCAGGACGCTGACCTCCGGGTCCCCGCAAGGGAACACTCCAGGCCCCCGCTGAGAGATACTCCTAGACCGGTCCTAGGGACTACCCCCTTCTCCAAAAAATGGAATATTTCCGACAAGGAGAACCTTCCATATTTCCAAATACGGCCGACTAGAACCAACCTAACAACGACTATATAAGGGGAGTCCAAAACCTAGAAAAAGGGATGAGCACTTTAAGACTTAGAGAGTAGAGAGTAGAGCTAGGCGACTAGAATTAGGGTTCTTACTTAATACCTTGTAATTCCGGCTTTTTTCTATTGGTTTGGAATGGATCACCATTTACGCCCTTGGGTGATATTAAATGAACGGTTGAGATTAACTATTATTTTTTTTTTAATTATCTTTCTGTGATTAAGATCTTGTGTTCCTCTAAGAAGAAGAGAGATGGGTCAGAGAAGCAAGAGAGAGAGAGAGAGAGAGAGAGAGAGAGAGAGAGAGAGAGGAGACAGAGAATATTGAAGATATGAATTTCGAGAATACGCGAAGGCCGGTACCATCGCTTGTCACCACCACCACCATCACCATCTCCCCCGTCCACCATCGCTTGTCACCACCACCACCGTCACCACCACCATCGCTTCTCAGATGCATCTTCACCGGAGTCGCTACCACCACCATCATGCTCGTCCTAGCCACTGCTGATCACTTCTCTGTCTCTCAAGATATGCCTCTCATTCTCCCTTCTTTGTTTGATTTTATAGTAATAGTTATTTTCTGGTGGGGTTTCTGTGTATTCATCCTCAGAACTTGATTATTCAGGTTTTTGGAAGATAAAGATAGTTTCTCTGTTCAGTGTTTGGTTCTGCAAAAGAGTTGTCTTTTTCATTTTAATTCGATTATTAATTTTTTTATTGAAGTTGAATTGAGATTGTGATTTAAATTTTGAGATTTTTCTGATGTTTTAATCTGTGTTTTCTACAGATTCCCTAGGCCCATGGGAGATTCTATCATACAGCAGCGGATACAACTCGCTAGACAACGCTGCGCCGTCAGGGAAAAGCAGCGAATACAACTCGCTAGAGATTGCTTCCATCGCATCAGCTTCAGCCATGGTCTCAGTTCTCATCGCTCGTCATTCTCTTCCTCTTCGCGAGGAAGTTGCTTCCAAGATCAAAGACAAGAAAGTGCGACGAAGGAGGAGGGAGGCTGTTCACGACAGTGGAGAGTTTAGTTAGGTATAGGGTTAATTATGTTTAATTAGGTTTAGGTTTAGGTTTTGGTTCATTATTTTTTGGTTAATGTATTCTGGTATATTTAATTTTTGGTAAAGTTTTGATTTTATTTGTAAACTGATGTAATGAATAAATCTCTTAATTAATAAATTAATTTTTGATTAATTTTTATTTGATTTATTTTAATAATAATTTATAAATCATATTTGATAGTAAATCATTTTAAGGATAAATAAATTTAAATAATAATTTTTTTTTAATAAAATTTGTATCACGTTATCATAAATATTAATAATTGCAAAAAATTATTGTTATTGTTATGTATTTAACTTTAACATACCAATAAACTGCTATTAAAAGTGTTGGTCCTATTATGACAGGTGATCTCAGAGCGTTTTAGGGAACACTGTCATATCGATCTCATAGCATTTAATGGCCGCTATTAATACTCACATTTCTTGTAGTGTTTGTAGAGATATTCTCTTGTGTGCTTTGTGGTTTACATATGTGCCATAGTTCTTGCATTTACACACTCTGCTATAGAGTGGTTAGGTAATAAGAAATTTTTAAAACGATCATAATCCTCTTCTTGACTCTTTAAAAACTTTGAAAAACTTGTATTGATATCATATATAATATATAGAAAGCTTGCAATAGATAAAAATATCAGCAAACCTCCCCTAGACATAAATGCCACTGTCTCCAGTGTTATACAGTCTAGGATTGGTGGGAAAATAAATCATAAGTACTAAATTTAACAAGGAAAAATAGTATACCTGCTCGCTGATAGTGATCGTTGATCAGCACAGTTAAGTGGTGCTCGATTGATACTCGTGATGCTATGTCGATCCCTATGTTGGCCAGATGTTGATCGATGCTTGTTGCATAACTCGTCTTCCTTGGATCTTTTTTTTGCCTATGAACAGTATCACTGCTACAGTGTCGATCGATGTTTCTACTACAGTGTGGATTGATGCGAAAGTGCCTCTGCTGCAGTGTCGGTGCCTCTCAGTGTCGTCACTATTCATCATCTTTTTTTTTCTGAAATCGATAACTGAGAAAATCAGTATAAGAAAAAAATAAATAACTAAAACTTACAATTGCTCTCACTCAGCGCTTATTTTTAGTCATTAGCTTGACTTTCTGGAGGTCAGATTCAGTTCAGATAAGAATGATAAATTGCTCCAAAAAAGTCTCTATATCTCTCTTCTTCTTCATCTTGTTGATGTTGTTGACAAAAGCTCTTGCAGAAACTTCTCCTTTCTCTCTAAGCTCTGGATCACATAGTACTCTAACTCTGGTAAAAGGTTCTGGACCTCCTCTGCAACGCACTTTATACTCATAACTTCCCTCACTACACAGCGAAGGAACCAGTGACAGCAAATCTGTATTCTTCTTCTTTTGCTTTTTTCTGGTCCTTTCCCCAGACTTAGGCTTTTCAGTCTCGGCTTGTTCTGAAAATTTTAGGACATCGATCGATGCTGATAGCTGAATTTCAATTGTTTCTAGAGGCTTAGGATCGATCAACGGTGAAGACCGAGTGTCGATCGATGGGGATGCTGGTTTCACAGCCTCGCGACTTGAACTAGCTGTGGGTGATGGATCATCAGACTGATCTATGGATGAAATAAACTCCTCACTTTTTTTTCTTCTCCACAGATCATAGTAGGCAGTTTCATCAACATTAGTCAGGTACAGCTTATTCTTCTTGAGATCACAAACTGCCCCCACTATAGCCATGAAGGCTCTTCCAAAAAGAAGTGGAGATGTCTTGCCAGATTTTATATCAACACCATGAAAGTCCACATTGATAATGCATTCCCCTATCTCCACCTTAACATTCTTGATCATGCCTGCTGAGTTTGCTTTGGAGTTATCCACGAAAGTGAAACTATCTTGAGCAGGTTCCATCTTTAGTCTGGATAGCTCAACAGTGTCTATGGCCATGATGCTAACTGCAGATCCAATATCGTAGAGGGCATTTGGCAGATTGTGGCTATGTATACAACATGGAAGCATGAACTTTCCAGGATCTAGTTCCTTCTTCAGTGTCCTCTTGGGTTTACGGCTGACCTTGTTGAATAGCAACTCAATGTCCTTATCTGTCTCTCTGCTCACTCTGAAGAAATTACCAAGTCTGTACTTATAATATACATTCTCAAAAGACATATTCTTAGGAACTCTCTTCACCCTTTTGTGAAATCCTTCAAGTTCCACTATGTTAGCTTCTCTCCTGAGGTGTTTGGCAACATAGTGTTTCGTCGATTTAGCTCTCTTCCCAATAGAAATTCTTTCTTTTCCTGCATGCTGTTCCATAACAGGTTCGTGTCCGTCCATTTGGTATCGATCGACACTTGGTTTATGTCATCGATCGACACTCTCAATGAAAGAGGTTTGAGCTGGAGTCGATTGCTCTTGATCTGGTGCATCTGTAGATTGGCGACTAGTCTTCTCTGCTGTCTTTAAACAAACTGATGTCTGAGATGGGTTCCGAGTTGCATTCAAGAGGTGTGGATCAAGGTCGGGTAAACGCAGTCGACATGTCAGAGGTGGTTGTCAATTGCTGCTGGGCTGGTTTTGTTGCTCGATGCTCCACAGTTGTTGTCGATCGATTCCATCGTGATGTTGTCGATCGACAGCGTCCGTTTTAACATAGCATGGGATGGGAGGGTGTGGTTGTCTTGCAGAGAAATCTGAGTTGCTGTGAATACGAACAGTGTTGCTCGACATCTTAATGTCGTGATGGAGAAGCTTAATTCCAGAGCATGTGAACTTCTAGCAGCTCCAAGAGCACAGCCACGATAGCATCGCTGGTCAAGACCTTGACCTCTCCCAGATTTAAAACCATCCCCGGTTTTGATTTCGGCAGCTTTGCTTCACCCACGATTCTTCCTAACTTTTCATGTTTCATATAATTGATTTCCTTTTCAACACTAAATGCGCTTAACACACTACTAACTCCAGAGATTAAAACCTTAACTTGTCTCTCTTGATCGAATCATAAATGTTTGAAGAGCTTTACCACTGAAAACGATATAATTCTGTGATTTTTAAAAAATGATATTGACTGCAAAGTGGTGTTGACTCAAGTTATTACAAGAAAACATAAAAAAGAATCTCACACGCTCTAACTTTTATTCTTTTGGAGTTGTAGAGTCATTTTTTTGAATTATGTTTACAAGTTTATAGGGTCAAAATACCAAAATTATCATGAATTTTGTCTCTCTTTTTAGGTATGTTTTTTGCTTAATAAAACTTGTGAAAATTACTTGTAATGACCCGAATTTAGCATGAAATAACTAGACTAACTCTTATAACTTTGTAATTACTAGACTAACTCTTCAAACACACAAAATTACTATTTTTCCATAACTAATAAATTAAATCAAAATAAAAAGGAACACTTTAATATAATTAAAAAAGGTCAGAAAAACACTTTACCATTTCTTTGTCGGGTTCAACGAGAGAGACCTCGTCGTCTCCGTCATCTCCTACACGGTGTCTTCATATCCGACAGTCTCATCATCTCCTACATGGTGTCTTTCTCACCTCTACCTCAACTCAACTCTCTCTCCTACATCCTCCACTTGTTTCGTCTTTCTCTTTCTCTAAAAACCCAAATCGACTACATCTCAGCAAAATCCGGTTCAATCAACTCGATTTCGTCTCAATCAGTCTTCTATTCTGTGAGTCTTTAATTTCTTACATTTTGATATGTTATTATTGTAGATTAGTTGATTTCTTGTAAAAAATTAAGAACCCTGATTCCCAATTTCATCTAAACATCAAGAACCCTAATTCCCAATTTCAAACTAGTAGAGAACGTTTCATGACATGAATTGGTTCTAGTAGTTTGAGAATTAAGAACCCTAATTCCCAATTTCATCTAAATTTTTTTTTACATTTTGATATGTTATTATTGTAGATTAGTTGATTTCCCAATATCAATAATTTTTTACATTTTGATATGTTATTATTGTAGATTAGTTGATTTCTTGTAAAAAATTAAGAACCCTGATTCCCAATTTCATCTAAACATCAAGAACCCTAATTCCCAATTTCAAACTAGTAGAGAACGTTTCATGACATGAATTGGTTCTAGTAGTTTGAGAATTAAGAACCCAATTCCCAATTTCATCTAAAAAGTAAGAACCCTAATTCCCAATTTCATCTAGTAGTTAAGGTTCTTAATGACCAATTTCAAATTACTAGAGACAAAAACATGGGAAAATTTTTGCTGTCCGATTGTTTAAATTTTTTTCCTTTTTGGGTCTGATGTTTTGCTTGGTTAGTTCATTGCTTTCTCTTATGGTCGAAGATATTGGTTACTGAATTTTCACAGTGTTTCATAAACTGAAATATGCTGAATGTGACTGTTTTTTTTTGTAGGTTTGGCTTCTTCTTCAGGTTCAACAAAGTATCCTTCTCGTATTTACGAGGTTGGCAAAAGTCCAATTCAGAGTAGGAGCATGAATCATAGTTGTTTTTTGTCAAACATTCAAACGCTGCTAGAAAACGTTGGTGATGATGTTGCGTCTGAGTTACGGGAATCAACTGTTGGAGTGATTGTGTAGCTGAAAGAGTTGGATTACATTTGGTCTGCTTCTTGCGTTCACTATTTTCTCGCCAATCAACTGCCATCGAGAGCAGCCATGAGATGTGGTCTTTGATAGACACTATGCCACTGCGGTTCTCTTTGTACGAGTTTGGAGAGATTACGAGGCTAAATTGTGATCCTTTCGACAAGAATGACCTTTGGGATGTGGATCATAAAGACTTCTGGCTGGAGATGAAGGTACCGACTTCAGAAGGGCCTACATTCAAAGAATTACAAGCCATTTTTCCTCTTTGTAGAAACTGGTCTCGGGAGAAGCGAGTGATGGTAGGTTTGTTGGGTTTGTTATGCATCGGGATATTTGGGAATCGGATAGAAGGTGTTGATGTCCCTCTTCTGTCATGGCGGGGATCTCGTCCTCGTATAAACTTTACAGATTTCGTGGCCCAAGAAAAGAGAGAGCATCCGAAGGTATGAAGAGAATTGTTAATTTCTTCTAATTAATTTTTCAGTGTTTTACTAATCTTCTATATACTATACAGGTTTGTGTGAGACATATGGTTGTAAAGCCAATAGAGGATAGATATCCGAAGTGGGAAGATAATACAGTGTTTACTGATCTCGATAACATGATTCAAGACATCCTCAATGATCAGCTTGATGAAAAGTTTTGGGAAGTAATGGCTGATTCCAAGTCCAAGGAAGAGAAAAAGCCACGTGAGCCCACCCTTGGTTCCAGATACCAATGATGTTAGTCCCTCTACTAAGCGAAAGAAGGTCCAAGAACATGTTGATAGATCAGAAACGGTATGTTGCAATCGTTTGAATAATTGTCAAACCATGTTATTTCTTTTGTGACTGATTTGTTATTTTTCTCTGTGAATTGCTTTTAGGTTGAAGCTCACAACATGGCTATCACTGGATTGGTCGAGTCGGTCAAGAACCTGGCTGGAAAATTAGATGGAATAGATGATTGTGTAGCTGACAAGGTAATTGCGAAACTGGACGCAGTCATACAAGCTAAGGTTGATGCTAGGATTGGTTTATATGAGAGTGAGTCAAAGAAGAAGATTGCCATGTTGGAGGAAGAATTAAAGAATCTTAAACAGCAGCATGGAATACACATTCCTACCGAGGTGGCTAAGTCCAATGGTGGCAATTCTATTGCCCAAGAAGAGGATGATGCTTCTTGCAATGCATTGGTATGTTTTATTTCTTCACTCTTATTTATTATTTTGTTGTAAATACTGACACTTATTCCTCTGACATATTTTAAGAATTTGTTTTGCCTTTTACAGCACATTGCCGCAGCAATGCTCATGTTTCATAGGCGTTCCATGCAATCCACATCCCCCTATTCTTCCTCTCGAATTGCGTTTTTAGATCGGTGGTTCGTGAAGTCATGGGTTAACGACTACCAAAAACAGGACAAGAATAAAATTGAGTTGTCAGATATGTACACCAAGGCTTTCAATGGAGAATACCCAGGAAAGTTTGTGACGGGTAAGAAGTGGTTTATAGATGCCGACAGCTTGTTCCTCTGCCATCTTATTAATGGAAACCATTGGGTTGCTCTACATATTGATTTACATAAGATGGTAATCCATGTGTACGATAGTATTCCGAGTGTGGTGAAGGATTTTAAGAAGTTGCACGAGGAGTGCAGAGCATTCATGAAAATGATTCCACTGGTGCTTAATAAGATGGTTCCTCCTAAATTGAGAAAGAAGAGTGCGCAGCAGTTCAGCTTACGTAGGCACAAGAATGTCCCTGAGAACCTAAAACCATGAGACTGTGGTGTCTACTCTTTGAAGTACATCGAATGTCTGGCTGTTGGATGCTGTTTTAATGGCTTAAGTGATGAGATGATACCGGCCCTCCGAATGAAGTTGGCGGCCGAGATCTATGAAGAGGTGGCAGAGGTTGATGAGGAAGGATGATTTAATGGTTCATGTCATTTGGATTGTGATATTTTAAGTACTTTTACTACTGTAACTTGGATGCTTTTATTTTAGTACTTGTAGTAGTACGTATAACATGATGGATGGATGGATGATTTTATTTTTGTTTCACATGTTTTGTGCTTTGGTCGATTATAATTCAACGGGTATGTAGTTTTGTTTCACTCTTTTCATTATACCAACAATTCTGAAGTGGGCAATCAACATGTATTACATTTACTTCGATCAACATAAATTTGTAATCCTTGAATTGCTTGTAGATAAAAGATTAAAAGTATTCAAAGTAAGGTATCACGAAAGACCAAAGTGTAAATGTAATGCAACACCAAAGAGTAAACAAACGAATGTAACAACAACCTAAATGAAATCTAATGACCAAAGCTTGACACTAGATCGAATAGTCTTCACTTCAGAGGACATGTTGTAGAATTATGTCATGTCTGGTTACAAATTTTACACGTGTGTTCCTTCCTTGGCCTCTTCTTGTCTGCAACTTTCTCCAAAATAGATTTATGTCTTGATTTTTTGGGTCTTCCTGGTGGTTGGCGGACATCGGGTGGTAAGCAGATTCTCGTTGTAATGTCTACTGGAATTGGAACATAATCATCTTTGGGCATGACATCAGTGAAATATGCATTGTAAAGGTGCTTCTTGCGATAGTAATGGTGGCAAAGTGATATACGAGATAACTTTCTAGCTTCCCCAGCAGCTATAGCATGAACACATGGTAGCTTCTCCAGGTCAAATCTTCGGCAAGAACATGTCTTCTCGGTCAGATTAACAACGTGTAAAGATGAAACTCCAGTAACTTGTGACTGGTGCATGTCTATTGCTTGAACCTTTTGTAGATTCGCAGTAGGTATCCGGCCCTGCGAATATTAATGCTTAGTATAACAGCAAATAATTAAGGAATACATAACCTGATTCAAAATATATTACCTCTAACACCTTCTCTACACCACGAGTAAGAAAGGTTTTCATCAACTCAGCATCATGTTTCCTTGTTGCAAACCACCGTGTCATCATTAATCGTATTGACTCTAGAAGGTGGACAATTGGCAAGATTCTAGCACCAGATAAAGCTCGGTTTATGGACTTAGCTATGTTACTGGTAAGAAGGTTATATGTATCCCCTCTAAAGTGAGCTCTTGCCCACTTATGTACATCAGCACGTTCCAAATATGCATGCAAAGCTGGATTTAACTCTTTGATTGTCTCGAAGGTTGCTTGAAAGTCACTTAACCGAAAAGAGTAGGCGGCTTTTTTGACCAATCCGAAACAATCACGCCCTCGGTAGCGTAACAAGATGTTTTTATATAAGTGGTATGTGAAAATTCCCCTACTAGCAAGTGGATAGACCACTGAAATAGCTTTCTCTATTGACTTGTGCCTGTCAGAGATTAACGCCAATCCTTGATCGTCGGGTATCACACGGCTGAGTTGGCGGAAAACCATGTCCATGATTCATCGTTCTCTGTGTCAACCACAGCAAATGCAATTGGAAAGATTTGAAAATTACCATCTTGTGATGTTGCAATAAGAAGTGTTCCTTTGTATTTCCCTTGCAAAAACGTTCCATCAACCACCACAACCTTCCTCATAAATGGAAAACCATTAATGCTAGCGCGGAATGCAAGGAACAAGTACTTAAATCTATTGTTAGAATCAACATCTAGTCGCGTGTAAGTTCCTAGATTTGACATCGTAATCATGTGGAGGTAAGTATGTAATTCCTGGTATCCACTCTCTGAAGAACCCATTACGAGATCTCTAGCAGCTATAAGTGTACGGCGAACTTTCCAGTAATCCATCTACAATGTACAAAACAACATTAATCCATTTAAACAACAGATTTATAGGTCAGAAAATAAAGTATATTTGATGCAAAAAGGTAGTCGACCTTGGTTCCGAAACTCAGTTTCATAGCATCTCTAACATGACGTGGTAAAATAGACTGATCAACCCCACCAACATAGTCTTTGTACAACCGTCCTAGAATCTCAGGAGTAGCTTGTCGGGAACGAGATGAACGTTCTGTTACGGAGCAGGTATGTTCATCTACATATACTCGGACTGTAAACTTTGACGATTCACCTACTGGTGAAGCTCTAAGCTTCCACGTACAACCTTTTATCCAACATATTACACGAAACAGCTCCATTGTAGATTTATCCACATCAAAATCGAAACGGTGAACAACTGAATATATCTTTAGACGAGTCTTCAATACATCTTTCGAATCGTAACTCTGCCCCACTTCATATTTGAATGACCGCAAATCCTCCAAAATCATTGGAGGCTCACTTTGTTCTGTCTTCTGGAGTGTTGCATAAACCATGTTTGTACATGATCCCTGAACCTCTTCTACATGGTCTGGGGGAAGCCCGTATGTAGTAAAGTTTTCATCATCAGATGTTGCTCCGTCAGAATCATCGCAGTAATCAAAACGATCACCTTCTTCATCCATATCTTCTTCTTCTTCTTCACCCAACGAGTCATCTTTCTGTATGGGTTGTTTCTGATCTTCGCCAGCTCCTTCCCCAGCAAGTTTGTTCGCTTTAAACTCTACACACAGACGAAGGTTATCAACTTTGCAGAGACCCAAAAAGATATGAAACTGCCTATCGTTTCCTATCTTGACAGGTGCATCCATGCTTTGACTGTGAGCATTTCGCTTCGGAAATAGATACCTCAGTTCCAGGTAGTTTTGTGCAAAATCAACTCTGTAATCCTCAAATATGGCTTTCACAAAATCTTCAAATTTAGTCTCTTCATTTGCAGCAACTAATATGCTACCTCTCTCATTATCTACTTCAAAGGACCACTTAGTTTTCTCAACTTTCCAGTTTCCGGAGATGAGAATTATGTGATTCATATCTCCAATCAATATGAATTATAAGCTCTTGTCGTTAATCACCATGAAACTGTCTCATGTATTCTTGTGCGAGAGGGAATAGGAAGAAGACGACAAAATAAAATGGGAAGCCCTAATTGTTTAAAAATTGTTAAACCGAAAATTAATTTGATTTAAACCAAATTTAAAAATTATTTAAAACCAAAATTAATCTAAACCGAAACCAATACAAAATAAACCAAAATATATAAGAAATTAACCAAAAATTCGTGTGGTTATGTCTGGTCTAATTAATGTGGCCTAATCTAGTAATTATATTTAATCAATAAGTCTACCGTCAAAGACATAAATTCAAAAAGTCTGCCACCAAATGAATACAAAAATCGATTAAAAAACTAAATCGGCTAAACAAATCTGCCTCTAATTTTAAATCGGTCTTACAAATGTAACTGATCCAAAATAAACCTCGAAATTTTTAAAAATCAGTTACATATGCGACAGATTAATATATATAAATTGGTTGACAACCATAAAACGGTCAAATAAATCACCCACCTCAAAAATATCTGCCGTAATTCTAAAGTCTGCCATAAAGTACTTGGTAGATTTAAATTTAACAACAGTTTTAATTAGCAGATTTTTATATCGACAGATTTATTTTTTCGTAAACAAATCTGTCGACGTCGAGTTTTTCATAAATTCCAATGGCCCTTTCGTAATATTACATTTTCTTCACAACTGTTAGAAAGGGCAGTTTCGACATTAAAAAAAAGTTAGTAATTTTAAAAAGTTATGAGTTATTCTAGTAATTAGTAGACTAATTTGAGTCATTTAAGTAAACTTCCCATAAAACTTTTACCAACTTATTTTTCACAATTAAAAACTCATCGCGACCCATTCAAAAAATGGACTCCTGAAAATAAAGGTTTAACTCAAGAATAAACTTGGAGGAAAATAAAGGTTTAAAACAGAAAATTAGGAAAACTTAAGAATTATTCTGCAATATAGTCTCATCAATTATGGGCAAAAGTTGTGTCCCTTCATATTTTACATTCTTATTCTCTCCTTATGGACTTTCTTACACTTGCAGCAACTGAAAGATTCCACTTGATAACTCTCTTCTCTTTTCTGATGCTTCAAGTCAGATTAAAGCTTCTCCAAATTTCCCTCTATAAATTATGATTTCTTACAAACCTATATACATAAACAGATTCTAAAATAAACATAACAGAAAAAAATGAAATACGCAGATATATCTCATTTTAGCCACCCAAAACATAACCTCAGATACGACTACACGGAGAAGCCCTTCCAGTGTGATGGCTGCAATGAAGTCGGGATTGGCTCTCACTATCGCTGCTCAAATGATCATCAAAGCTGCGATTTCGATCTCCATGCACATTGCGCCTTACCTTCCGCCTCCATAACACATCCGTTCTACAAAAAGTGTACGTTTCAGTTTTTGGCCAAGCCGCCAGGGAATGAGAGACGGTACTGCAACGCATGCCAGAAGGACGTGTCAGGCTTCGTGTACCATTGCAAGGCATGCGGGTTTGATCTTCACCCGTGTTGCGCTATGCTTCCTATGGTTTTGGACGATGGAGGGACCAAACTCTTCCTTTACCGCAAAGTTAGCTCGTCTTGTCATCGATGTGGAAGAAAAGGCCGTAGCTGGAGTTACAGGTTTCTCTTCTTGATTCTATTCTTTTTCTTTTATTATTATTAATTATAATACCAATTGTTGAGCTATTATTATTTTGTGTTTTTATATTTAAGTTGAGATCAACGAAAAAATCAAATTATGATAGTAAAGAAAAATACCATGCCAAAGTGTATTTGTTGTGTGTTTTCATTGGTGTTTTAGTCAACATTAGCATATATTCTAAATCAACATCTCTGAAGAATATTTTTAGTAAAGCAATAATTTGGATTACGTTGATAGTTTGATTGTTGAACGTGGAATTCGTCTTTACACCGAATATATGTTTAGAGAAAAAGAAAGATTAAAGCGATGGCGTTCAAACAAGGATTTAAAGCAAATGTCATTTAAAGGTTTAAAACACAATACTTTCTCCTTTACTTAAAGAAATGAATTTGTGTGCTAATTGGTATACAAGTTCCATAGCGTGCACTCTAAGTTAAAGCTTTTTATTTGTCGCAAGACTATAGTATTGTTTCAAATCATATATTTCAGAGTTTAAATAAAAATATAAAATGTGGTTTATATAAATTATAATTTCTGCGACTGATCATAAGGATTTAACAGTGTAGAAAACATATGAACTAAAAACAGGTCGTCTTGCAAAAAGTACAATCTCCACGTAGCGTGCGTGAGGGAGATGTTGGTGGAGAATTGGTGGGAGCTGTACAAAGGAGAACGTGGTAAAAGCACAGAAGGCAAGAGCCTGGCTTTGAAGAACACGCTTGAACATCACCACCGTAGCAGCAGCAAAGGCAAAGTCCAGAAATGCTGTGAGATCGCTGGAATGGCCGTGCAGTTCGTTATCTCCGCCGTGCTTGGCGATCCAACGGCCCTTGTCGCCGGGGTTGTAGGTTCTCTCATCTCCCGAGGATGATCCACCTTCTAATTAATGATATCTCCATTTTCCTACTTTGCGTGTGTTAATTATCGTGTTATATAAAAAAAACTCTTACTTAAGCATACACGACCCCACAAGCCACAACTTCACCCCTGAACCTTACACAAAGGGTTGTACGCAGACTGCATATACAGACATGTCAAGAGAGGTCAGACAAGTTAGTGGAAGTAAAATAGAACAGTGCATATGTCAAGACATAGCTGATATGCCGAACTTCCAGGTCTAAAACACAATGATGTACAGCAAAGTATCGAGTAATCATTAAAAAAAAAATAGTATCCATAGTAAAAAAAATTGAGGTTACCTATCATTAGCCAAGTTCCAAGCTTCTTGCCTTAGTTCGGGAGGTGTTTCAAGCGTGGCAAGGTAGTTTGAGATGAACTTGTGAGGATGTTCAACATGACAAACAAAACCCATCTCTTTAAGTACATGTCTCTCAGTTCTGCTCAACTCAACTTTCAACTCAGAGTACTTCTGCAGAAAAATCAACAAGCTCAGTTACAAAAAGCAATTCCAAAAAACAAAGCTGTTCCAGTGAGTATGAAAAACAAGATATAAAATAAACAAGATAGACATTCAAGATGACAAATATATATATATATATAATTGGACATGTAATAGTAGAGTAGGGAATACTAACGTTGGAGAACAAATCAAGATGACCTAAGGGTAAGTTCTCCCTGCGACACTCCATCCTGTAGAACACAATGATGATCTGTCTCGCCTTCTTAGGGTTCTCTTCCAGTTTTGATGCAAGCCAGACACAGCTCGCAGCAACAATCTGTACAAGAAAGCCTTCAAGAGTCAAGAGAGAGAGAGAGAAACTTAAGGTCACTGTAATTGAAAACCATCAAGTACTACAACTAAAGAACTAAGCTCAAGCGTCAAGAGACAGAGATACAAAAGTAAGTACCTTAACATCGAATTTGGCAAGAGACTTCTTACAATAGAATCTGTGGAAAAGAATCTGCCCAGTAGCCATAACTGCTTGTGGTCTAAATATTCAACAATACAAACGTTAAAGTAAAAATCACACTTTGTGAGATTTTAGCGTTTTTCAACCAAAAAAAACATTTAAGAAAAAGGATACAGCTTGAGCAATATTCCACCAGCTTCTTGGATGAGATCTCACATCCATAGATTCTAAGTGCCACTTCGGTTGCTTCATCTATCCCATCTTTCCTTGAAGGTGACATCTTTATCTGCTCTTCCGTTATGTAGAAGTTATCAATCGCCGTGTAAATCATCAATTCAGGTTTTACAATGTACGGGGAGAGAAGGATTGCAAAAAATATATATATTAGAGAGAGAAAATAATTGGGCCTATACTTTAAGTCTACCCTTAATGGGCTTTAGAAAAACAATTATAAGCCCTTATCGAAGTGAATGTGCTGACGTCAAGATAGATATTTCAGACAAAACAGAGTTATGGCTGGAACATAACTGTGTCAAATGAGAGTTGAGAATGTCAAGTGCAACACTAAAACGGATCCTCCACCGGGCCCTATACCCCAAACCCGACTCGACCCATTCAATATCTCTCTTCACCACCGTCTCTTCATCGCCAGATCCTCTCGTCACCGACGCTGTCGCAATCCTAACTCACCGCCGCTGCAAATCCCGATGGTCTACTCTCCGATCACTCACCCCTCCCGGCTTCACTCCTTCCCAATTCTCCGACATCATTCTCCGCCTCCGCAACAACCCTCACCTCTCTCTCCACTTCTTCCTCTTCACCCGCCGCAACTCTCTCTGCTCTCACGACGTCGATTCCTACTCGACTCTAACTCACATCCTCGCTCGATCTCGTCTCAAAAGCCACGCTCGCGACGTACTCCGCCTCGCTCTCCGTCTCGCCTCCGACGACGACGGCGAAGATCGTATCTCGAAAGTGTTCCGTTCGTTGATCAAGAGTTACAATCGATGTGGTTCTGCGCCCTTCGTCTTCGATTTGCTGGTAAAATCGTGTCTTGATTCCAAAGAGATCAATGGAGCTTTGATGGTAATGAGGAAGTTGAAGTCTAGAGGAATCACTTTACAGATTAGTACTCGCAATGCTTTGATTTCAGAGGTCTCTAGGCGTAGAGATGCTTCCACTGGATATAAGTTATATAGACAAGTTTTTGGATTAGATGATGTTACTAGTGTTGATAAGATTAAGCCTAATGTCAACACTTTTAACTTGATGATGGTGAGTTTCTACAGAGAACGTAAAACAGAGATGGTGGAGAGGATCTGGAGAGAAATGGATGAAGAAGTTGGATGCGTTCCAAATGCTTATAGCTATAGTCTTTTGATGGAGACATATTTTGCGCGAGGTATGATGATTGAAGCAGAGAAGATTTGGGAAAAGATGAGGTTAAAAGGAGTTGTTTATGATGTTGTAGCTTATAACACTATGATTGGTGGGCTTTGTAGTAACTTAGAGGTTACTAAAGCCAAGGAGCTTTACGGTGAGATGGGTTCGAGGGAAATAGAGTCTACTTCTCTAACCTATGATCATCTCGTTAGAGGGTATTGTAAAGTGAAGGATGTTGATTCAGCTATGGTTGTTTATAGGGAGATGAAAAGGAAGAGTTTTGAAGCAGAGGGTTTAACCATTGAATCGTTAGTTGAAGAATTATGTGATGATAACAAAGACAGAGCTGTTGAAGCGGCAGAGATCGTGAAGGAAGCTGTGAGAGAATCAGAGTTTCTTCCTAGTCAGAAATGTTACGAGTTGCTGATAAAGAGGTTGTGTGTTGAAGGCAAGATGGATAGAGCATTGAGCATTCAGGCCGAGATGGTTGGAAGAGGATTTAAACCTAACCAAGAGACGTATAATGCTTTTATCGACGGGTATGGAAGAGCAGGTGATGAAGATACATCTTCATTGTTGGCTATAGAAATGGCTGAATCACTCAAGCTAAGAGCTGAAGAAGAATAAAGCTAGAATTTCAGCTTTCAGTGTATTTTGCAAATGTCAAATCTCAAATCTCAATTCAATACACACTGAACAATCACCTCATGACCATTTTTTATTTCTCAAAGTCTTGGCTTATGAGTAGGCCAAGAGGGTAAAACTTAAAACCACATTGGTTGACAAGTTATGAGAGACAGAATCATACAAATCACTCTTACATAAACACAAATGGGAAAAAGAAACCGAGAGTTGCCGAGTGATCATGGTTTAAAAGATGATAGCCCAGATGGGGAAGACAACAAGAGCAATGATCCCAAGGGTGTTGGAGATGCCATTAGCTTTAGTGAATGCGTTTCTGAACCCACCAGAAGCTCTAATATGTTCTTGAAGCAAGTAACATCCAATCCCTAAGCATATAAATAAGCCAACCCAGTTGTCTCTGAATGTGTAGGCTATTAGATTCGGAGGCACCTCAATGAGTAGAATCGCAGCCGCCGGTAACTCAAACCATTCTGATAAACAACAACAGAGATAGCCAGTCAGCAATGAGCAAATCAAGATCAAAAGTCTTGTTCTTTATGATGGTAACAAACCTCGGAAGTGTTTAGGGAAGAAGAGTTGTACAACAACAGCTACAATCGCAATCCATTGACCAACTTGTCCTCTATGAAATTTAAGACAATTAAAAGCACATCTCTGTTTAAATAAAAGTGTCGTGTTTGGTTTACCTGAAAAGGCTAAAGATGACAGAAGGAAGACTAAAGAAGATGTAAGGAATCAAAAGAGCCGTGAGCATATTGGTTTTTCAGTTAGTTCGATCCAAGACCAACAAGTATCTGCATTTCATTACATCATGAGATCAACAACACAAATAAACTAAGAAAGAGAGAGAGATAAATGAGTAAAAGAGAGAAAGAGAGAGAGAGGTTACTGAAGCAATCCATTCGAGGATGGAAGTACCAAAGCCTAAACCAGTGAGCATGAAGGTGTGATTAGCAAGGTTCTTAGCAGCGGTAGCGAGTTCGTTGAGATCTGTTCCCAGCATGTTTTGAAGGGTTCCATGCTCACTCCTCCTCATCGCCGTGAAAGTCATTTACCTGAAGAGAATAGGTTGGCAATTTTACATGAGCTTCTCAACTAAACAGACAAAGTTATGAGTTATGACATAATCTCGTTCCGGTTCGATCACGCGAAACTAAAGAAGCGGTCTTTGCAAAAGATCTTCTTCTACATAGAGATTGGTTAGTTTAGATAACACTACATGAGCTTCTCAACTAAAAAGATTACTACTTTGATGTTCTTAACTTTGTCTGTTTTGATCTTTAATTCGTTGGTAATCGTATTCATTGAATATACTTTGTAAGAAGTATCATTAGCTTTGTCATGTTTTCAGATGCGTGCTATGTCGGAAACCAGCTGCTTACCCTGCGGAAAACCTTTGTACAGATTGTTGCTGCGAGGTGTGTCTGGCTTGCATCAAAACTGGAAGAGAACCCTAAGAAGGCGAGACAGATCATCATTGTGTTCTACAGGAGGATGGAGTGTCGCAGGGAGAACTTACCGTTAGGTCATCTTGATTTATTCTCCAAGGTTAGTATTCCCTACTCTACTATTACATGTCCAATTATATATATATATATATATATATATATATATATATATATATATATATATATATATATATATTTGTCATCTTGAATGGTTTTCATGTCTATCTTGTTGTTTCATACTCATTGGAACAGCTTTGTTTTTTGGAATTGCTTTTTGTAACTGAGCTTGTTGATTTTTCTGCAGAAGTACTCTGAGTTGAAAGTCGAGTTGAGCAGAACTGAGAGACATATACTTAAAGAGATGGGTTTTGTTTGTCATGTTGAACATCCTCACAAGTTCATCTCAAACTACCTTGCCACGCTTGAAACACCTCCCGAACTAAGGCAAGAAGCTTGGAACTTGGCTAATGATAGGTAACCTCAATTTTTTTTACTATGGATACTATTTTTTTTTTAATGATTACTCGATACTTTGCTGTACATCATTGTGTTTTAGACCTGGAAGTTCGGCATATCAGCTTTATATGTCTTGACATATGCACTGTTCTATTTTACTACCAGTATCTTGTCTGACCTCTCTTGACATGTCTGTATATGCAGTCTGCGTACAACCCTTTGTGTAAGATTCAGGAGTGAAGTTGTGGCTTGTGGGGTCGTGTATGCTGCTGCCCGCAGGTTTCAAGTACCTCTCCCAGAGAATCCACCCTGGTGGAAAGCATTTGATGCAGATAAATCTGGTATTGACGAAGTGTGTAGAGTTCTTGCTCATCAATACAGTCTTCCAAAGGCTCAGTACATCTCAGTTTGCAAGGATGGGAAGCCATTTACATTTTCCAGTAGATCCGGGAATCCTCAAGCTCAATCATCTACAAAGGTGAGGTAACTAGCGATATAAAGTTGTTGTTTTTTTGTGATTTATGCTAAAGCATGAGAGTATTGTCCATGTTTTAATCAGAATAGCTTTTGCTTGATTACATGTTTTAATCAGAGTTTGGTATTGAAGTACTTTCCCTCTGTGTTGCAGGATGTTTTACGAGCAGTTGGCGATGCTGTTGATGCCAAGTGTTCAGCTAATAACGAGTCTAAGGATGCAAAGCCTCATGAAAAGGCTAAAGATTTGAAGAAGAAGAAAGATGTTGAGTCAAACAGTCTACCAATTAATGGGGACTCGAGGGAGGATAAAAGTAGAGTAGGAGAGAGTGATAGGGAGAAGGAACAAGGTAGAGAGAGGGACAGGGCTAGGTCTTCTCACTGCAGAGACAGAGGCAGAGATTCTGACAAGGACAGATACAGACCAAATGATCGAAGTCACCATCGGTCAAGAGACAGACTGAAGGATTCAGGTGGGATCAAGACATCATGACTCTTCTCGGGATCGTGAATCCTCTTACTCATCCAAAGAACGTCGTAGGCATCATTAAGTCAAATCTTGTTGTCAACCAATCTTTCTCATCCTTGGAGACAACCCTTTAAAGTCTATTTGATGTTTAGACGTGATAGTCCTCCTGTATTTGTATTGTGTTTAATTTCAACATTCAACACCCCATAGTTCACTCTTATTATGCTCAATTTCGCCTTCTATACGGACTCAATTGCCTCTAAGAATGCCATCCTAACCGTCGTTACCAAGTTATGTGAAAAGAGATTCATTTTCCGAAAAATTATTCACAAAACAGTTGTTTGTTGGAAGGGTACTACTACACAATCACCACACATAACAGTAATGCTGTGTTAGAGAGTGAAACAAGCCTCTCCAAAAAAGCAAGTCTGTCATAAAACATATGAAAGTCTCATCAAATCTTTTAAACATATTAAAGGGTGAAACTCTCACCGGAAAAAAAAAAGAATAACGTAGAACCGGAGAGGATGAATGAAGTCTTTGGGCATTGCTACGCTCTCTGTGTTGGGTTTGCTATATTGTTTCCCACATTCATTTGCACATTTATGTTTTGGTTGACCCGCTCTGCAACAACGATAAATATCACGGGCATTAATAAATAACAGCTATATGTTGAAAAGTGTCAAATATATATGGGAGACATTCAAATTAATAAGCAAAAAGTTTGTTATACACAAAAGAACAGAATGGGGAGTTTACTTGCTGATCCACGGTTGCGCTTGGTGCAATATTTCCAGGCACCCCAACCAGTTCCAAGAGCCAACAAAGGAAGAGAGATACCAAGAGGTAAACGTAAATTGCTGCTTTGCTCCCCTTCCTGCTTTCCTGCTGAATCTTTCATACACATAAAACTACCACAAGTTAGATTCCAACAACAAGCAATCTCTTGTCAACGTATATATAAATCGTTAACTAAAAAAATGATATCTACTTATTTATAAAGGATAATGACTAGAAACTTCTATTTTTCCATTATGTTCAAATCTAAATCCATTATGTTTAAATGATATAAATCTTTAAATTAATAATGTTTGGTGTTACACAAAAAGTTAATAATGTTTGAATAAAGAATTTGTAAAATGATAAATTTATCGAGATTTTTATTTTTAGATACCTATATAAGAATATTTTTA